TTTCTGTAAGGATTGCAGGTATTTTGTATCACTGATGTCTGTGCAAGATTAGCCTTGGTTGAATCTATCCTGATAACTAAGTGTTGGTAGAGACAAAACAGGCTACGCACTCCTGGTTCCTATAGTCTTTCTCATTAGCCCCCAATATCACAATACATTATTTGTGATTATATTAACACTTCTAAAAATGCATTATCAACAATGAGGTACCATCCTGCCCCAGCACTGGTAACAAAGTTGGACAAGACAGAAAATAACAAATGCTGGCAAGTATGTGGAGAATTGGGACTCTCATACATTGCTGGTTAAACTGCAAAATGATACAAACAGATACAAACAGAAAGCAGTATGGAGATTCCTTAAAAAGCTGCAATTAGAAATACCATCTGACCCAGTCATTCCATTAGTAGGCATATATACTAAAGGAGTGAAAGCCAGGACAAGAGCAGATATATGCACACCCATGTTCATCGCATAAGTATTTACAATAGCAAAAAGATGGAAATAGTGTAGATGCCCATCAACAGAAGAAAGGATAACCAAACTATGGTACATACACACAATGGAATACTACGCAACCATAAAGAATAATATAGAATATCCAAACACTGCATAACATGGATGAACTTGGAGGATATTATGCTGAGTGAAACAAGTCAATCACAGAAGGACAAATATTTTATTAGTCTGTTACTGTAAAAAAGTTAAGGAAAGGTTTATATATGTGTTCTGGTTACCTAGTGCCAATCTGACAAGAATATACCACTAATGGGATGGCCTTAACAAGCAGGAGTTTATTCTCTTACAGTTTGGAGGCTTTAAGTCTGAGTTCAAAGTGCAAGGCTCTAGGGACTGTGTTAAAGCCCTTCAACCTTGAGCTTCAGCTCTGCCTCCTGCTCCTAGACAATTGAAGGTAGAGGCTTTTCTTCAGCTGCTGGCTACTGAGGCTCACAAGCCTAAGGTTGACAAATAAAAAGGCATAGTCCTGATGTTACCAAAACACATGGCAGGCCATTAATTCAAGTCCACTGAAAGTCCCAAGGTCTGCAGAGCATGGCAGGCTGCTGAACAATGACATGGTTACATGCAGGATTCAAATACACCATAAGCTAGAGACCACTCACTCCCAAAGCTGTTTCTTATATATGGGAAGCAGACCACATATCCAAAGCAGCTACTCAGCTGCACCAATAGATTCCACATGGACTTAATTATTAATCTCATCATGGGGGATAACTACATTCAGCTGCCCAGCCATTCAACCAACCAAGCTGACATACAAACCTAACTACCAAAATATGGAAGGGAGCTTTCTTTGTTGGTTATCAGAGGTGGGAGGGAAGGGGAGGGAACACTGCTAGATAGAGACAAGTACTGATTGGGTGAAGAGAAGGGCAATGTACCAAATGTGAGGGATCAACACAGTGGCACTGAGGAAGAGGAAGGTATAGAGAGGTGCATGGAAAATACAGACAACAAAGGTGAACCCTTTTGCACATACAGGACTGCATTGTCAGTGAAGGCAAACACTGATCTACGGGTGAATAGATGGGTGGACAGGCTGAACTATTAGGTATGTCTATGCAGGGAGGAGTGTGCCCATGACCATGTATAGGGTTGACAGACAATATTTCTACAAGTGTATTTGTATGTTCTGTAAGAATTCCCAGGTATATAGTAGAGCTGACAAGGGACAAGATTGTTGTCACTTCTTGGCCACAGCCAGCTACCTAGAGGGAGCAAGTAGTAGGACCTGTGGGCTTGGGACCATAGTCCCAGGAAACATCAAGCTCATTTAGCATAGCATACTACACAAAAACATTGTTCCACATCCTACTTTGGCAAGTAGAGACTGGAATCTTAAAAACTTGCAAGTGGCCATCTAGATGCAACAATGGGTCTCTCTTCCTCCAGAGCAAAGAGAATGAAGAAAACCAAAGACACATGAAAACAATTAGTCCAAGTGACTGGTATGCCATGCAATCCTCAGGCTATGTGTCTATGAGACCAGAAGAACTAGATAGTGCCTGGCTACCATTGTCAACCACTTGGAGGAGGGTCTATGTAGAAGATCCTGGATAGAATTGGAAAACAATGTGGAATAAAACTCAAAATCATTGAAAAAAAAAGGGGGGGGGGACCAGGTTTGCTGGTCTGATAGAGCCTGAGAGAACTACTGAGACTATGGCCCCTAGCTGACCTTCAGGTCTGGAATTGAACCCACTCCTGTAGCTCCCAGCCAAACAAAAGCCAGGCATATGAGCTGAGCATTTACGTTAGGTAGACACACTCCTTGGAGAGAACAATCATGGGAGAATAGAAGGGCTATGTATGCACAGGGACACTGCTCAGGGGGCAAGAGTGCATGGGAGTAAAGGGCACAGGGAAGAGGTAGCCATGGGAAGGAAGTGGGAGGGGAGCTGTTGCATTGTGGGAAATTGAAGTCAATGTCATGAGACAAAGTATATGTGAGCTGCTGTATGGAAAGTGAATTTGCACTGTAAACTTTCACCCAAATCACAATGAAATTTTTTTAAAAAAAATGGATTATCAAACTATACTGTTTAGGTGTAGGGTATTTTAAAATTCCATATTTCTATTAGTCTGTATTTTATATGTGTACTATAATCTCTCAAATAATCTGATAATGTACAGAATCAAAGTGGAAGAACATTTCCCCCATTAAGGAAATTATAATCTGTTGTTAAAATGATTTTTTGTACTTTTCTATACAAAATAATAGATCCTCAAATACATGTAAGATTAGTATTAATGAAATAGTGGGGTAATAGAAAGAATTATAAGGAACCCTGGTGATATAGTGGTGAAAGCACTCAGTTGATAACTGAAAGGTCAGTGGTTCAAACCCACCAATCTTTCAGGGGAGAGAGACGAGATACTCGGCTTTTGTAAAGATTTGTTGTTGCTGTTGCTAGGTGCTGTCAAGTTGTCTCCGACTCATAGCGACCCTACACACAGCAAATGAAGCACTGCCCAGTCCCACGCTACCTCCACGATCCC